ATTATAACCTATATATAGTGAACAAATACATTTCAAATTTAAAAGAAGCTTATCAAAATGTGCTGCATTTACCGTTATGTTAGGAATTGTTGGAAAATGATATTCCTGATCAGCTGCTTAGGAGTCCATCTACATTGACCCAGTCAGAGGTTTCAGAGCATTGATGTGTGTGTGTGTGTGTGTGTGTGTGTGTGTGTGTGTGTGTGTGTGTGTGTGCAAGAGAGAGAGAGAGGACATCATGTCTTTTCTAGTTGCTGAGCTTTGTTTCGACACTGAAAAGGGAGAGGAGCTGACGTTACTCCAGCCCACAAGTTACGGTTTATAATTTGAGAACACTAGGTGGCAGGCTGAGACTTGCAGATACCCAGTTCCTCCACTATCAAACATTCCATACCTTTCCCCAGGTCTCCAGAGTTCTTCTTCAAAGGATGACATGTTACTTTCTAATTTTGTATTATGTGTATTACAAATTCCTTTATATTTATAAATACTTATATTCTAGAGAAAAGGTGGTAAATAAAATGGATGAAAATGTGAAGAAAATAGAATAAATTGCAAATTGCTAAAAACTTTCACAAGTTATACTAATGACAATAGTTGAATAATATAATATATAATAATAATACTATATTGTCTTCTAGTGTTGGAAAACATTAAAACTATTCATCATCTTTGAATTTAATAATTCATTTGTTTGCAAATACAAAATCAATCACTTAAAAAATGTCAAGATGTCAAATACAAATTTAAATACAACTTTCATTTCCACAATTAAGATTAATATTAAAAAATACAAAGCATTTCACAACACGTCCAGTAGAAATTGATATCATGAGATGAGAAAGCATCATTTTCAATGTGATCTAACTCAGTTCCAGAAATAGAAAGAATTATTTTAAACCTTTCTGGGAAAGGAGATTTTTGTGCCTCAAATGAACCACTCACACACTAATTCTTGTTCTTTATTTACTACTTGTCCATACAGATAGATTCATGGAACAGGAGTGACCGCACATAATTTTTCATCCAAAGAGCAACACTGCTGAGCGTGAAAGGGACTGCCTGGAGAACTGAGAAATAAGATCCCTCCACCCAAGAGTGCTGGCAGCCAGAGAACTCACTTCAGCTTGCTTACAGCAGGACTTCCTAAGGTTTCAGATCTAAAATTCGTTCTACTTGTTCTATTTCATGCCTCATTTGCCAGTATGAACCCTTTCTTCTTCCAGGAGATCCCCATGAACACCACCAGGCAGACAATACTAAGTCCCACAGACATTCACATCCACCAAGACATATCAAGAATGAGATGAATAGGTAAATATTTGGTTGATTCTGATGTAATTGGACTCTCTTGAGGAAATACATCATGAAATACTATAAGAAATACTACAGGCTCGTGGAATCACTTTGTGGTTATGTGGATGACATGCATTGACTGCTCTCTTCAAATTCCATTTTTGCACTTATAAAAAATCTTATGCAATAAAGCTTATTAAAACATTATTACTTACCTTTAATAAATAATTTGTACAAATATAATGAAAATTGGCCCTTTAGTTTTAGTAATAGCATATTCACTCTCAGTAGATGTGGTGATGGGTAGAAATTGTTTTTACCAAATGCAATTAATTATCCTTTGCTTTGGAAAAAGTCCTAACAGCAGTTGCTAGATAAAGTCAACTTTAAAGTTAACTTATTTCCTTAATAAATTTTTTTTTAATGTAAGTGTATAAGACTTATCTGTTTCTCAAACAGTGAATTTTTATAGGGGATGGAGTACATTAGCCTTTTAATTACATCAATGATTTACAGATAAGTAATGGACTTTGCATGATTAAAAATATAAAAAAGGGCTAGTTTAGAATGTGATAGCCGAAAGCATTCACAAGCTTATTTGTAAATGCTTTCTTCGGCCACCCTTGCACTTTCACTGGGAATGGTCTATCTATAACATGCTTCATGTAAAAGTATTTTTGTTTTGGTTGTTTTTAAAGAAAAACAAGGTAGTAGCTACAGAAACTCACGTGGTCAGTTTAGACAGCAGAAACCTAAATTTGTCACACATGATTTTCATCTAATTTGTCTAACTTGTGGATGTAAGACTTTGATTTAGCATCCTCCTGATTAATTGCTTTGTGAGGCAAGGGCCATTTTGTAGGGTAGCCCATAGCCTTATTTAGAGACTGGTGCGTTCGAGCCCCATAAAGGACCAAAATAGAGGGCATAAGTCCTGCAGTAAAATTTTGAAGTACACAAATGTGACTGTTTCTCAGAGTGTCTTTCATCTGTGCATCATTCTTCACTTTACAGAAAAGTGGACTGGGAGTGTGCCGCATGGTTCATGCTCTATGTGGGTACACTGGCAGCATTAGCTACTAATTACAGATAATGTGATTTCTTACATGCTTGTCAACTGTCTTTTAAGTGACCAAAACAGAAGACACTTCTTATTTGCTCTTTATTTCCTAAAACAGAACTACTTTGAGTATTTATCTGAAAATACAAACTCGATCACTACTTATCTAATAATTCTAAGTAGCTGCAGCAGTCTGTTCTGGAAAAAGATCACAATAAAATACATGTGGAATATATAAGACTGAATGAATGTACTAACAATAACCCTTTAGCTCAGAATTACCTAATTGATTTCCAGAAACAGTTTTATTTAGTTTTGCCGTAGTTATCCAAACATTTGTTGTCATACTAAAACATATATTTGAGAAGTTTCAATCTTTTCTCTTGTCCCTACATATCTCAGCATACTCTAGTTTCCCAGAAGTCTTATAGCATCTATCAATATAGCATGTATTAATATAGCATGTATTCATACTTTTACATGTTCCTAAAATAGTAACTCTCGATGATCTGATTATTGGAATGTATGCCTACTTCTCTAAGGAAGACACATATATGATACTAATAAGAGTTATCTAGAATCTCCATGGACCACAGTCATGAGCCTATGCGCCCAACCAATAATTTATTCTAAATACTACAAGTTGTATTAAATTCTCCATATACAATAGCACCTTGTATATCTATCATACAGGAGAATGATCACTGGGTCTGATTCTTCAGGCATCATGTCAGAGAAAGAATTCCTTTACTTACTAAGACTCTGCTATGTTTGAGCAAATCCAATGAATGAGTCAAAAAACATAAATGCTTTAAGATTTACTGGAAATGTGTGTAGTTTTCTCCACATCAATCTCTGTCTCAGAGGTCAAACATTCTTAGAATGGGATACATGGACAGGAACTGTGATCATTTGAAAGTTAAAATCTAGTATTTCTTTTACCTTGAACTTTAAGCTGTAAACATCATACCTAAAAATTCCATCAAGATCATCCCAGCGAGTGTGAGCATCTGAACTGGGACAGAGTTACTCTCCTGCTTTCTGCCTGGTTCCCTGGGCAGCGTGTGACTCCACATCAGAACTCTGCGGTTTCCACCCAAGAATATTTTTGTTGCTTTTCTGATTAATGAGTTATTATTTAAGGAGTCAGGAGTGATTTATAGCATTGACTTTTCTTCTCAAGAGCTGGAGGAAACAGCACAACAAAAATATAATTCAACAGTTCCCTAAAGAAAGCAAAACTAAAATTCTATACAAAGTAACTTCCCAATTTATCTCATCTGGTTACTCTCTAGCTCCTTAGGCTACATTGTATCATTTCAGTTTCATACATAGCTTTTCCTTTATCAGTGACTGGTTGAGATTGTCAATTATGTCCCTTTTTATATGTATATATCCTATTATATATACCTACATAAAATGAAAGATTCTGTAATAAATTTCTTCCACAGATCAACATAGTAAAAGTTTAAAAAAGACCACGTTCTTTCAGAGACATGATATTCTTAGGATTTGTAGCCTGTGTCCTTACTTCCATTATGGATCTGCAGGGACTCTCAGGGCTCCTCAGTGTGCTACCTAGTTGCAGTAGCTGACCTATTAGTCTGTGCCTCTGAGCTCAATTCAGAGATTTCCTTGCTCACTGGAGTAGCTTACCATTTTCTAAACCTTATGAAATATGTTGATCCAAAGTTTAAAAGATGTAAAGAATTCCAGATATTATTTTATTCATCTTTTCCAGTTTGTAGGTGAGAAATTTAATGTAAAGATTATGTAACATTTAGTACTGTCTGGTTTCAGGAGTTATGATTATTCTCATAATAATCTCATAATTTATCATATTATATAAAACACAACTAACAAATATACCTCAGGTTTACAGTTTTTCCCTGCTTATACTCAACGATTTCTTAAAATATGATACAATTATGTTTAGAGGTAAGACTTTCAGGAAAAAATTAAAGTTCATTTACTATATAAAATTATTCCATCGTATCATGTTAGAAAATAGCCACATTTTCTCTAAGGTTATTTTGAGATAAAATAATATAATGTTTAGGTTATATACAGTGACATAATTACATCAAATATTTAAAAATATATGCATTGATTTTATACTCTATACACAAATTGGCTTTATGATACATACACATATACTTATGTCATGAGTGAGTAAAAGGAATTTTTAGAAAGGACAGGCTGAAGTTTCTTCATCTCCTCATGCAAAATTGATTGTGGAATTGGATCATGTATCAGTGCTCCAAATTATTGAGTCTGAAGTAATTCTGATGCTCATAATTCCATGTACCTTTGAGAAGAAAGATGTGACAGATAACAGTGTTACTGTTTGTTCTGAGAACTCTAATTCAACACACACACACACCCCTAACTCCTTTGATTCTTTTACACTCAGATCGCCTTCAAATCACAGTCAGCAAGTTCTAACAACTCAGTCTAGGTGAAAGCCAGCCAGCTTTTGCTGGTAACAATGTGTTCATACAGCAAAGGATCTCTGTCTGTTCAGGCTGCTTCTTGCTCTTGTCAGAGTGAGAAGGGAGTTATTGCTGCTTTCCTGGGGTAAGCTATTTGAGAAAGAAAGTAACCTAACACTAATGGCAGGCGGGGCGGGGTGATGTAACAGGAAGCGGTGATGTTTCCCTTCTGCGGCTGATCACTTACAATCTGACAACACTCCCCATCTACTCAGAGCAAGTCCGGCTCTCTCCCGCGGTGAAGTCCTGCCCTAGACCATCAGGCTCGGTTGCTGGAGCTCACCCTGCCTGCAGGACCACATTGCAAGGCTTAGACTTTTCCGCACTTCATCTGGGGTGGGAAACTCTCTCCTGTGGGATCTCAGAAAATCCAATTCCCTTCTGAGACCGTTTCCCACAGAATTTCCTTAGGAGCTGTGCTGGGTAAGTGTATTATTCAAAAATATTTATTCTCAGTAAAATTCTCAGGTAGTTTGGCAGTGTTTCTATCAAGAATTTAGTAAGTGGCATTGAAATGATGTTGAAACTGCCTTTTTTATGCTACATAGGGAACTAGAGAGTCTGACTCCAGAGTGCATGCAGAATCTATTACTAGTGTATAAGAGTATTTACAGTGGTATTTAGAAAATAAAATTACCAACTAATAACAACGTGAATGGACTGAAAGGCAAATTTCTGAACAAATATTTTAATCCGGAAACAATACCGTTTACATTAGTTCTACTCTTAACTAAATTCAGTCCCGGCAGCTGGAAAGCATCTGCCCCTCAGGAAGGGTCTTTACATTTTCCACTTAATCAGTATTCTAAGGAAGGAGCGGCAGAAGACTCTCGGGGTCCAAGAGTCTTCCTGTGTGGCTGCACACAAAGCAGGACTGAAAGAAAAGCCCCCAGCTTGGACTTCTGTTTGCCTCTCACTTCTATTTACATTGACATCTCTACCTAACCAAAGGGATTCTCATTGTTCTTTGTTGCCAGATATGTGTAAATACCGTTGTTTTGTTTTGCTTTGTTCTTTTTTCAATATTGTTTGTTTGTGTTTGTTTTTTGGAGGGGGTATTCCTGAACTGTTTCCACTGTATTTAGATCATGGGTGTTTTACAAGTAAGGAAAGAAAAACAAAAAAACAAAACAAAACAAAACTCAACAAGACAAAACCCAAGCTGCCCAGTGCTGTTAAGGAAATGTAGCGATTTCTGCATTACTTCATGGTTTTTCAACTTTGAAGCTTAAGAGTTGTGTAACTTCAACTGTCTTTCTGCAAACTTGCAGGGAGACTATGGTAGGAGCTCCCAATAGACACAAAAACACAGTGATATGACAAGTGTACTAACTCATAGACAGTTAGCTTTAAACTAGGTATTCAAAGAAGCATTTCTAGAACAACGCTGTGATGAAACATCTGTAAATGAAACATCTGTAATGCTCTATCCCGCAGTACAGACTGTCCTGAGAATGAAATGCCTAGTTAACAAGTGTTGTTACAGAGGCATTGCAAATTATTGCTAGGGGATGTAAGACATCAGATTTTGGTTCAAATTGTGTTTATTAGCATAATTATTGAATTCTATGTTTTCCTACTTAAATGAAATTCTACAGTACTGAGATGCCTTTCAGTGCTAGCTAGCATTCTGACCACAGTCACCCGTGGTCTGGCAAACAAACAGTATATTACAAACTCATCCTAAGGAACTCCTCAGTGATTTTTGGCTCTGTTCCCATATGTGTTTTTCAATGTAATGGAAACATTAATTCATACACTTGCAATTTTAAAAGCATTGCGGCTGATTTATGTTTTCAGTTTTTTTTAAATTATTATACCACTGAGTTCTCAGCTGTGTAGAAATGGATAAGGTGTTTTTAAGATATGACTTTTTACAACTACTCATTAAGTAATTGGAGAAAGAAGTGAAGTCAACCCATTAAATAATCTAATGTCATATAGTAACAGAAATTGAAAAGCATTATTCTAAGCCAGATTATTTTCTGAAATTAGGTATTATATTATTAAAATATTGTAAATTAGTAACTCCACAAACTCTTCTGATTTTTGTTCAATTAACACTTCAAAACACACAATCACCTTGTAAAATTTATTTAAATATCCTCATCTATATTAACAGCATTGTTTAAAACAATCTTTGTCACCAAAAACCATGACAGAAAAGTGCCAGACAATGAATGTTGGTGGTCATTAGGCACAGACACTATTTGAGTTAATAACTGGGAGATTAAAATAAGAATTGATATCATTCTAGAATAAATGTGGCTTTAAAATGAATAAATAAATGTCTGAGAAGTAAACTATGTTTTATTATGTTACTTTAACTTTACAGGAGATATTCCTTTTAGCATCATAAAATCAATGCATATGGTCTTAGACAAGTCCTAAACATGTCAAATAAAATACAGAATTCAAAAGTGTCATGTCTCATGTGATCTGAAATACCATTTACCTAAATTGTTCTATTTGTAAAGCAGTGTATTTAGATGGCTGTTTGCAGCTAGTACAACAATAGCGTGTTACCAGTTTTATCTCTGCTTATATTTTGATAGTAACTATTTATTCAGAATTGTTGGTAAATTTTACAGATAAATTAATACAGTTACCTTTAAAGAATTAAAATAGGTATTCACTGAACAAAATGTAGTTCATGCTTTATGCATGACTTTGATTGACTTTAGTAAAACTGATTCTGCTTTTAGAGGTACGATGATGTCACCTTTCCAGAATTCAGATAAAGCCCAAGTATCTAATTCCCTGTTTTTGTTTGGGATTTAGGAAAGCTTCTAAAGCATTAACATAAGTCATATCTTACAGCGGAGTTAAGGGAAGACAGGGGTCAAGTCTGTAGTACAGCTTAACTCCTGACCCATTCAGAATTCACTCACAATGAAGATGAGTGAATAGCACACAACCCATGAGAGAAGAAACGTCTCTGGGCCCGGTTTGAAAGTCTGGTCTGTGGGTGGACTTTAAACATGAGTTATTTTTTTTAATGTAATCTTTTTCTACAAAGAACTATACTACAATATTAAATCATTAAAAAAACTTATTTAATATGTGAAAGTATTCCAATGGAATTGTGTAGAGACAAACTTTGCAAAACTACAAAGAAGGTCTGCACCCTGACTAGGGGTGTCAATCCTTTCCCCATTTACTCGTGTGGAAATTCTCTTCCTGCCCCAAATCTTTCACCGACTCCCAGTATCTGTGGTTTACCCATTTCAATTCTTAGGTAACTAGAGAAAGAAGTGGAAACAGCACATTAAATAACTCAATGTTTTTATTGCTTTTAAATTCGTGTGTAACTTTGAATGTATATGATCATAGTTGACTATTAAGTGGAACAATAGGTAGAATACAATTAACTGCAAAACTTGGAGAATAAATATGAAGTCATGCTTAAGGAAAAGTGAAAAACATGTGAACTACATATCTAATCATACTATAATATTCATTTGACAGAAAGAAATATATTTTTATATGCTGTTACAATTCTCAGGAAAGCAGAAATTCCTCAATAAATCCAGGTGATTATTTTTTCATGTGTAATTAGTATTATAATATTTGTCAGTAAATTAGTTTAAGACAAATAATCTCAACACTTTTTAAATTAATTCAGCTTTTAAATTAATGAATTATTTAAAAAAAAAGAAAAAAATTAATTTTTAAGGACAAGTTAAACATTTTACTCCCAGCCAGACAGAGGTGGCACACTCCTTTAATCCCAGCACTTGGGAGGCAGAGGCAGGCAGATCTCTGTGAGTTCAAGGACAACTTCGTCTACATAGTGAGTTCAAGGACAGCCAGGGCTATGCAGAGAAACCCTGTGTAAAAAACCAAAACCAAACCAAACCAAAATAAAAACCCCAGCTACCACTACTACCACCACCACCACAAAATCCTAAAACCCAACAACAACAACAAAAATTTTAATCTCTAGTATTATTAAATAAAATTATCACTGGCCATGAACTGAGTTAGGGTCTCCTAGTTTGCTAGAATTATTATCACATGATAAATTTTATTTTTACAGAACACATTTCTTTCATTTTTCTTCAGTTAGCTTCTTTATGTAACACTATATTATGTAACATGAACACATTAATATACCATTCGCAAATATGGTCAAAATAGTGTATTAAGGTTTTTAAAAGTAAAGGAGTTTAATCCATACATGGTTTTAATAAATATGTGTCATTTTTCTGCCTTCTAGTCAATTAAAAGTACAAAATATCAAACTCACCTAAAGTGACATAAGCCAAAGAAACAGAATAATAAATTAACCAATTACTTAATAATCTTATGATATTCGAGTTATAACTTTTTATTTTATTGCTGTCTTTAGGTGGAACCTGTTTTTAAGAGAACTCTCGCTCCCCTTAACACTATACCATTTTTTTTGAACTAAAAGCAACTACCTTTCTAGAGCACACATGATTGTAAGAAACCTTATCATTATTACTGTATTCAGGCTTAACCTGAGTTAACTGTGTTTAACCTGAGTCCAGTTGTATTTTGCAGAAAAACTCTAGTAAATCTTCAAGCTGCATTTAGAATATTAAATAAGCAGGAGGTTGGTTTGCAAGAGTGTTCTTACTACGCCTTAGTTCCCTGGAAGACCCTTTATGTGCTCTTGAGTAGATAGGGCTGACTTTAACAATGAAAACTAGTATAAATTTGTCTTATATCCAGACACTAACCTGAGACTGATAGTTATGCAGTTATTTTGTGCATATCTAACTCAATTTAGCCTACCTTCTAAGTATAATTTGAATGAAAAATTGAGACTTTGGCCAAAGTATCAGGGAGGAATGAATACATTCATTTTAAAATAGGAAATGATAATTAAAGTTGTGAAAAATAATTTCATCAGTACAAAATTGTTATTAATAATTCTTCAGCTATTTTTTTATTATGAGAGGCAAAAGAGATACCTGTTTAGCTTAATAAATGGAAACCTAATATTAGAATAACAGGTTTAGTATTTAATAAGACAGGCTACCTATGTGCGCTCCTTCAAGAACTTAATTTCAATAAAATTTATATTTTAAAGACCTTTGTAAGGACATTCCAAAAGGCTTTATTGGCTAAGAGGAACAACTTATACAATTGCTTTAGAAATTCTGATATGTTATCTTCACACATCCAGCCTAGTAGACTCTATCTAGCCCTACAACATCCACATGTGAATCTCAAGTTTACCACTTGCTAGTTTTCCTTCATTATCTATAAATATCTATAAATATCACTATGTGTGATATTCATACTGCTTTGTAAGGTTTAGTGTGAAGTATGTGAGAAAACACATGGAACATGTTTAGCGGAATATTTGCATACAAGTAGATGCTCAATATATTTCACAGATCATCAGGTCTTTTTGAAATACAACCGAAGCCATAATGTGTATCCGTCCAAAA